GTCTGTGTCTTGCCATCCAGATGACCCCACTGTCTGTGTCTTCCTGTCCAGGTGACCCCGCTGTCTGTGTCTTCCCGTCCAGGTGACCCCACTGTCTGTGTCTTTCCATCCAGGTTACCCCGCTGTCTGTGTCTTCCAGTCCAGGTGACTCCGCTGTCTGTGTCTTCCTGTCCAGGTGACCCCGCTGCCTGTGTCTTCCTGTCCAGGTGACCCCAGTCCAGGTGACCCCGCTGCTGCCTGTGTCTTCCTGTCCAGGTGACCCCAGTCCATGTGACCCCACTTTCTGTGTCTTCCTGTCCAGGTGACCTCACTGTCTGTGTCTTCCTGTCCAGGTGACCCCGCTGCCTGTCTTCCTGTCCAGGTGACCCCAGTCCATGTGACCCCACTTTCTGTGTCTTCCCGTCCAGGTGACCCCTCTGCCTGTGTCTTCCAGTTCAGGTGACCCCGCTGTCTGTGTCTTCCCGACCAGGTGACCCCGCTGTCTGAGTCTTCCCGACCAGGTGACCCCGATGACTGTGTCTTCCCGACCAGGTGACCCCACTGTTTGTGTCTTCTCATCCTGGTGACCCCACTGTCTGTGTCTTCTCATCCAGGTGACCCCACTTTCTGTGTCTTTCTGTCCAGGTGACCCCGCTGTCTGTGTCTTCCCATCCAGATGACCACATTGTCTGTCTTTCCCGTCCAGGTGACCCCATTGTCTGTCTTCCCATCCAGGTGACCCCGCTGCCTGTGTCTTCCTGTCTAGGTGACCCAGCTGTCTGTGTCTTCCTGTCCAGGTGACCCCGCTGCCTGTGTCTTCCTGTCCAGGTGACCCCAGTTCATGTGACCCCACTTTCTGTGTCTTCCGGTCCAGGTGACCTCATTGTCTGTGTCTTCCTGTCCAGGTGACCCCGCTGCCTGTGTCTTCCTGTCCAGGTGACCCCAGTCCATGTGACCCCACTTTCTGTGTCTTCCCATCCAGGTGACCCCACTGCCTGTGTCTTCCAGTCCAGGTGACCCCGCTGTCTGTGTCTTCCCGACCAGGTGACCCCGCTGTCTGAGTCTTCCCGACCAGGTGACCCAGATGACTGTGTCTTCCCAACCAGGTGACCCCACTGTCTGTGTCTTCTCATCCGGGTGACCCCACTTTCTGTGTCTTTCTGTCCAGGTGACCCCACTGTCTGTGTCTTCCCATCCAGGTGACCACATTGTCTGTCTTCCCGACCAGGTGACCCCATTATCTGTCTTCCCGTCCAGGTGACCCTGCTGCCTGTGTCTTCCTGTCTAGGTGACCCCGCTGTCTGTGTCTTCCTGTCCAGGTGACCCCACTGTCTGTGTCTTCCTGTCCAGGTGACCCCAGTCCAGGTGACCCCGCTGCCTGTGTCTTCCCGTCCAGGTGACCCCAGTCCATGTGACCCCACTTTCTGTGTCTTCACATCCAGGTGACCCCGCTGTCTGTGTCTTCCCATCCAGATGACCCCACTGTCTGTGTCTTCCTGTCCAGGTGACCCCACTGTCTGTGTCTTCCCATCCAGATGACCCCACTGTCTGTGTCTTCCTGTCCAGGTGACCCCGCTGTCTGTGTCTTCCCGTCCAGGTGACCCCACTGTCTGTGTCTTCCTGTCCAGGTGACCCCACTGTCTGTGTCTTCCTGTCCAGGTGACCCCACTTTCTGTGTCTTCCCATCCAGGTGACCCCGCTGTCTGTGTCTTCCCATCCAGATGACCCCACTGTCTGTGTCTTCCTGTCCAGGTGACCCCGCTGTCTGTGTCTTCCCATCCAGATGACCCCACTGTCTGTGTCTTCCTGTCCAGGTGACCCCAGTCCATGTGACCCCACTTTCTGTGTCTTCCCATCCAGGTGACCCCACTGTCTGTGTCTTCCTGTCCAGGTGACCCCACTCTCTTCATTTTTTTGTCCTGGTCACACAGGTATAAAAATGCACCCCAATAAGGACACAGTAAGGTCCCAGCTCTCCGCACTCCACCCAAAACTACAAAAGGAGAAGAAGATTAGCTGCCTTTGGTCTCATTGACACCTTTAGGCCCCCCTGGGCGGGGAAGGGTTAACCCTCTCCTGTGTCGGGCAGATGGTGAGGCGGCCTCGCCCCGTTTTTTGTCTGTACAGGTGAGGCCGGCCAGGTAGAGGTGGGGGGTGTGGGGCGAGGCGGCAGCTGGCAGGACGCGGCCAATAAACGCGCCGCTCCTTCCTTTGTTTTTTTTCCTGGCGGTAAATTTGAAACAGAAAATTGAGGTGTGGAAGTGCACGCCTCCGATGCACAGAACTGACTGAGCGACACCGCGCACATGTGACCCACAACGCATATTGGGGGGGGGGGGGAGAGCGGGCGACAAGGGCGAGGATCGGAGGGCTGACTTTAGGTCATCAAGACTGAAGTTTTGTTATTCCCAGTCTAGTGACTGCATGGAGGAGGTCTGAATTGTCTGGATGGAGTGTGTACCCAGTGTCAGGGATGCAGGGGACACACAAAGGGGGCAGGTGGGGCCCCACAGTCACCATGCGGGGCCCCACACACAGCTCCATTCTCCCTGAGAAGAATGATTATCATATTTATATCCCATCAGTTACAATGTATCTAAACCCCGAGCAACAATGGAACAGCTTCCCGCCCATGTGGTGGCTGCATTTGTTTTCCTTTATTTTCACCGGGTAATGCATTTCCTGAACGAGGGTGACACCGCCCTCAGTACTATATCTATGAAGGAGCAGTGTTGTCTCCTTAGGACAGGACTAAAGGATGCCTCCTCCTCCTCTCCTCTTTAATATAGACCAGGGGTCTCCAAATGTTCTAAACAAAAAAAAAGTCGGTCCAGGATGTAGGGGGGCCTGACAGTATCAGTGGGAGGAATAGTGCCCCATCATTGGTGTCAGTGGGAGGAATAGTGTCCCCATCATTGGTACCATGGGAGGAATAGTGCCCCATCATTGGTGTCAGTGGGAGGAATAGTGCCCCATCATTGGTATCAGTGGGAGGAATAGTGCCCCATCATTGGTGTCAGTGGGAGGGAATAGTGCCCCATCATTGGTATCAGTGGAGGAATAGTGCTCCATCATTGGTGTCAGTGGAAGGAATAGTGCCCCATCATTGGTATCAGTGGAGGAATAGTGCTCCATCATTGGTGTCAGTGGGAGGAATAGTGCCCCATCATTGGTATCAGTGGAGGAATAGTGCCCCATCATTGGTGTCAGTGGGAGGAATAGTGCCCCATCATTGGTATCAGTGGAAGGAATAGTGCCCCATCATTGGTGTCAGTGGGAGGAATAGTGCCCCATCATTTGTGTCACTGGGAGGAATAGTGCCCCATCATTTGTGTCAGTGGGAGGAATAGTGTCCCATCATTGATTTCAATTGTCCCTGTCACTAACTTTACAAATATCCATGAATAACCCTCTGATGTGTGACAATATACAGCAACAGGGTCATCAGAAAAGTTCCACCCTTAATCATTAAAAACCGTCACTGAGCTCCAGACAGTGACTGTGCCTAGGCTGCAATAACGTCATCAGTCTGCTGCAGGCAGGTAGAAGGTGGAGGGAGCATTCCCTCAGTCCCCCCTCCCCCAGTGATCAGACTGTACATTGTAACTTTGTAGAAGGAGGAGGAGGCATTTCCTCAGTCTCACCTCCCCCGATGATCAAACTGTACATTGTAACTTTGTAGCCAATCACAAGGTGAGAGGCTGCAGCAGGGGGCTGATCTGTGTCAAACATTTGTGAACACCGCCAAGAAGGGCACAGACACGAGAATATACAGGATTGTGTCATCTCTGAGCCGGCATCTCAGTCCAGGAAGCAGATGGTGACCCTGGACGATGCCTGAACAAAGATGGTGCCGACTTTCTAGGGAGAACATCAGAGGAGGGTATTGTCAGGGGGAGCCCTGCGATCTCGATACCTGGAGGGGTCACACTGACCATGCCGGACTTATCATGATACATGGATCTGATGATTGCAGGAAAGGCTTCTCACATCTCATCGCTAATGAACAGACATGGGTCTCTAGCAGTTGGGGTCCTCAGAACTACCATCAGTCTTCAGCAGCCACTGTCCAGCAGAGCATGCTGGGCCTTGTAGTCCCTCCACTGCTGATTGCCCATAGCCTGTATGTTCACGGGGGAGGGAGGGGAGCAGCTGGGCCTTGTAGTCCCTCCACTGCTGATTGCCCATAGCCTGTATGTTCACGGGGGAGGGAGGGGAGCAGCTGGGCCTTGTAGTCCCTCCACTGCTGATCGCCCATAGCCTGTATGTTCACATAATGGGGGGCAGCTGGGCCTTGTAGTCCCTCCACTGCTGATCGCCCATAGCCTGTATGTTCACATAATGGGGGGCAGCTGGGCCTTGTAGTCCCTCCACGGCTGATCGCCCATAGCCTGTATGTTCACATAATGGGGGGCAGCTGGGCCTTGTAGTCCCTCCACGGCTGATCGCCCATAGCCTGTATGTTCACATAATGGGGGGCAGCTGGGCCTTGTAGTCCCTCCACTGCTGATCGCCCATAGCCTGTATGTTCACATAATGGGGGGGGGGGGAGTAGCAGCTGGGCCGTATTAGCAGCAGCTTGTGCAGTTCCATGTGGCAGCGATAAACATGGAGACATGGAGGGTATTAGTGGAGAGCGCAGCGACGTGTCCTGGAGAGTGTCCAGCTGCATGGGAACCGACTCCTGGAACCATCACTGATCCCACAGGAAAACCACCGGGACCCCTGACCCCCCCCCCATCAGACATTGTACTGCTCTATGGAGAGGACGGCTTCCTGCGCTGTGATTGCAGCTGTTTATTATAAGATGATGGAAAACAAGGCTGGGAGCGATCACATTCCAACATCGGGGACAGACAGGAGGGGGTTAAAGGACTGGGAAAGCCTCCACCAACCCAGCACAGACTTCAAGGGGAACTCCAGCCACAAAAACCCTCATTTGAATATACACTATATTGCCAAAGTATTGTCCCCGCCCTCCCAATAACTGAATTCAGATGTTCCAATCCCCTCCATATCATGTGATTCAGGTGTTCCAATCCCCTCCCAATCATGTGATTCAGGTGTTCCAATCCCCTCCCAATCATGTGATTCAGGTGTTCCAATCCCCTCCCAATCATGTGATTCAGGTGTTCCAATCCCCTCCCAATCATGTGATTCAAGTGTTCCAATCCCCTCCCAATCATGTGATTCAGGTGTTCCAATCCCTCCCAATCATGTGATTCAGGTGTTCCAATCCCCTCCATGGACACAGGTGTATACAATCGAGCCCCTAGGCATGCAGACGGCTTCTACAAACATTGGTGAAAGAATGGGTCGCTCTCAGGAGCTCAGTGACTCCAAGCGTGGTCCCGTGATAGGTGGCCACCTGGGCAAAAAGTCCATCCGTGACATTTCCTGGCTACTAAATATTCCACGCTCAACTGTTAGTGGGATTATAACAAAGTGGAAGCAACTGGGAACAACAGCCACTCAGCCACCAAGTGGTAGGCCACGTCACATGACAGGGCGGGGTCAGCGCATGCTGAAGCGCACAGTGCGCAGAAGTCGCCAACTGTCTGCAGAGTCAATAGCTAAAGATCTCCAAACTTGGTGTGGCCTTCAGATGAGCCCAACAACAGGGCGTAGAGAGCTTCATGGAATCTTGGATCTGTTTGTTTGGAATGAGCAGCGCACATTAGTTGAGGTCATGTACACTGCTCTGTGCACACTACACACCAATAGTCCATAGTCCCCAATCCATAATCCACATTCCATAGCCAAGAGTCCACAGTACATAGTCAACTGTCCACAGTCCATAATCCATAGTCCAAAATCAATAGTCCACAGTCCTTAGTCCATAATCCACAGTCAAGGGTCCATATTCCACAGTCCCTATTCAAGAGTCCATAGAGCATGATCCATAGTCAAGAACCCATAGTCCACAGTCCATAATTCACAGTCTATAGTTCATAGTCACAGTCTACAGTCATAATTCATGGTCAAGAGTCCATAGTCCACAATCCATAGTCAAGAGTCCATAATCCATAGTTGAGAGTCCAGAGTCCACAATCCATAGTCAAGAGTCCAGGGTCCATGGTCCATGGTCCATAATCCATAGTCAAGAGTCCATAGTTCATAATCCATAGTTGAGAGTCCATAATCCATAGTCAAGAGTCCACAATCCATCCATAGTTGAGAGTCCAGAGTCCATAATCCATAGTCAAGAGTCCAGGGTCCATGGTCCATAATCCATAGTCAAGAGTCCATAGTTCATAATCCATAGTCGAGAGTTCATAGTCCACATTCCATAGTCCATAATCCATAGTCAAGTGTTCATAGTTCATAATCCATAGTCAAGATTCCAGAGTCCATAATCCATAGTCAAGAGTCCACGGTCCACAATCCATAGTCATGAGCTCATAGTCCACATGCCATAGTCCACAATCCACAGTTCATAATCCATAGTCAAGAGTCCATAGTCTAACATCCATAATCGAGAGTCCATAGTCCACAATTCATAGGCAAGAGTCAATAATCCATAGTTGAGTAAGTCCATAGTCCAGAGAGTCCATAGTCCATAATCCATAGTTGAGAGTCATAGTCCATAATCCCAAGAGCCCATAGTCCATAATCCATAGCCAAGAGTCCATAATCCATAGTCAAGAGCCCATACTCCACAGTCCACAATCAAGTGTCCATGGTCAATTGTTGATTATATATAGTCAAGACTCCATAGTCCACAGTCTATCATCCACAATCCATTGTCCAGTTTCCATAGTCCATAATACACAATCCATAGTTTATAATCCATAGTCAAGTGTCCATAGCCCACAGTCTGTAATCCATAGTCCATCTCAGGAGTGAGCAATAGAGAGAGGATACAGTCCTACATACAGGGGGACCATGGAGAAGGAACGTAACCACTGAAAAACATTTGGAGGACGTTGAGAGGAATAGAAGGGACTTTTCTTAGTGCAGAATACATAGTGGAATAGAGCCGTCTCCTCTTTTTAACCAGAATTTAGAGTCACTTTAAATATCACCGTGTGCTCCGGTTCCAGATCCACTTACCCTGATCACAGTCCTGGGCGATCGGGCAAATTCCTAATTGCGCAGAAGCTGCCAGACCAATAATCAGATTTCATGTACATCTGCGCCGTACTATTGGATGACAATTATTACAGAAAATAAAACGAGCACCAATAATCCGCTCTCTCCCAAATTTTGACCTGAAAGTCCTTCATGTGACAACAATAGCTCAGCCTGACTTCTTACTGGAAACACTGCACCCATGTCCTTTAAATTTAACCGTTTACCATCCAGAGTCTGGAAAGGTTAAAGGTCAGTTGTTGACATGAGGGTGTACTGTCAGGGGGTGTCAATGACAGGGGTCCTGATAGTGTGGAGTGGCAGTCAATTAGATAGACACATGGATAGGAGGAAGAGGGCAGCTGCTGGTATTGACACAGAGGTGAGAGATAAGAGCTGGGGCCCCCCCCCTGCACTGTGTAGGGCCCGCTCTGCAGGTGCTGTTTATTGGTTTACCTTATCAGCTACACAAGAGAGTTGATGATAAGTCTACACCCAACACAGACAGGTCTACAAAGAGGAAGTCTATGGGCCTTTCACTGTCCTGGGGTAACACCACCCATACCTGTTCCACAAAGAGCCCTCATTATTCCCAATGTGAAAGATACAACCGCTGACTACACCAATCACTGAACCGCAATGTACACATGTCCTGATAGGAGTCATCCAGGAGTCATTGAATGATAGTATCCTGAGGGACCACTAGCTCCACCGACAGGATTGAGGTGGAAATTCAACCCAAACTTTAAATCCTCCCCACTCCCTCCCCTCCAGTCTTGCACAGGTGTACCAGATCCTCCCCTCTAGTCTCGCATAGGTGTGCCGGCTCCTCCCTTAAGTCTTGCACAGGTGTACCGGCTCCTCCCCTCCAGTCTCGCACAGGTGTACCGGCTCCTCCCCTCCTCGCACTAGTCTTGCACAGGTGTACCGGCTCCTCCCCTCCAGTCATGCACAGGTGTACCGGCTCCTCCCCTCCAGTCTTGCTCAGGTGTACCGGCTCCTCCCCTTCAGTCTTGCACAGGTGTACCGGCCTCCTCCCCTCCAGTCTTGCACAGGTGTATCGGCTCCTCTCCTGGCCTGAAATGGCCTGCTCTGGTTTCACTGCACACTGTGAGCTTCTCACAAAGTGCATTAGATACTACACCAATTTAGAAAGAGCCCAGCACCTCTCAACCTTTTTTTTCAGTTGCTTAAAAAGGTATGTAAAGCCCCCCCAGTTTAAAATGTAAATGTTACTTAACAATGAGAAACCCCCACTAGATGAAATTAACTTCACCTCAGAAGTCCCACTTCATATCAGAAGTCCTCACATCACATCAAATCTCCCCCCCCCACCCCTTCACATGAGAGGTTCCCCTTCACATCACAGCCCCCCCTCCCTTCACTTCAGAGTCCACCATCGCATCAAAGGCCCTACACCAGAGGCTCCCCATCACATCAAAATCTCCTGTTTAAATCAGAGGCCCGCAATCACCACAGAGTCCCTCCGCCACCATCAGAGAGTCAAAGGCTCCCATCGCATCAGAGATCCTCCAGCAGATCAGAGGTCCCGCATCACAGACCCCAATCACATCAGAGTTCTTCCATCACAGGATGCTCGGGATACATTTTTGTACAACTAAATCTCACTCCTCTCCCGAATTCTCTTGGTAAATGCAATAGGAGTGCTCCAATGGGCTGCAGAGAATAGATTTACGAATAGGCCATACCCTCCTGAAGTCATCACTGAAGGACAGCTGAAGTCCTCTCTGGAAAGCGGCGAAGATGAGCAGCAGTGCTGATAAGTGGTCAATTACAGGATGCTCATGATACATTTTTGAACAGCTAGAGCTCACTTCTCTCCCAAAACTCACATAGTTAAATGTCATAGGAGTGTTCCAAAGAGCTGTTTTAGTGAACATCAGAGCTACAGTATATGAACAGACCATGAGCTTCTGAGGTCACGACTGAAGGACAGCTGAAGACCTCTATGGAACGAGTGGGAGATGAGCAGTGCTGGAGATGAGTGATCAAGCACAGGATACTCAGGATATACATTTTTGAGCTGGTAGACCTCACTCCCCTCCCCGAACTCACAAGGCAAATGTCATAGAAGTACTCTCAATTGGCTATTCTAGCAAACATTGATATGAACAGGCACATGATCTCTTAAGGTCACCACTGAGAGGCAGAATGAAGCTCTTTATGGAGAGGACAGGAGATGCAGTGCTAGAAATACAGTCAGGTCCATAAATATTGGGACATCGACACAATTCTAATAACATTTTTGGCTCTATACACCACCACAATGAATTTGAAAATGAAACAATCCAAGATGTGCTTTAACTGCAGACTGTCAGCTTTAATTTGAGGGTATTTACATCCAAATCAGGTGAACGGTGTAGGAATTACAACAGTTTGCATATGTGCCCCCACTTTTAAAGGACCAAAAGGTAATGGGACAATAGGCTTCTCAGCAGTTCCATGGCCAGGTGTGTGTTTATTCCCTCATTATCCCAATTACAATGAGCAGATGAAAGGTCCAGAGTTCATTTCAAGTGTGCGATTTGCATTTGGAATCTGTTGCTGTCAACTCTCAAGATGAGATCCAAAGAGCTGTCACTATCAGTGAAGCAAGCCATCATTAGGCTGAAAAAACAAAAACAAACCCATTAGAGAGATAGCAAAAACATTAGGCGTGGCCAAAACAACTGTTTTGGAACATTCTTAAAAAGAAGGAACGCGCCGGTGAGCTCACAACACCAACAGACCCCGGAAGACCACGGAAAACAACTGTGGTGGATGACCGAATGGAACAGAATTCTTTCCCTGGTGAAGAAAACACCCTTCACAAACAGTTGGCCGGATCAAGAACACTCTCTCCAGGAGGTAGGTGTATGGTGTGTCAAAGTCACCAAATCAAGAGAAGGGCTTTCACCAGAGTGAATACAGAGGGTTCACTCCACAAGATGTAAACCATTGGTGAGCCTCTCAAAAGCAGGAAGGCCAGATTAGAGTTTGCCAAACGATCTAAAAAAAGCCTTCACAGTTCTGGAACAACATCCATCCTATGGACAGATGAGTACCGAGATCACCTCACTTGTACCAGAGTGATGGGAAGAGAAGAGTATTGGAGAAGGAAAGGAACTGCTCATGATCCTAAGCATACCACCTCATCAGTGAAGCATGGTGGTGGTGTTAGTGTCATGGCTGTTCAT